CTGTGGAGGGCAGTGTCACTGGCCCTCATATGTGGGATCCAAACCGGGGCCCTCTGGCATCCCAAGCCAGTTCTTAACCATCGTGCCACTCGGCTGGCCCCTAAATGATATTTTTAACAGAGAGACATTTTACTTTTCAAATGCTTGATCCTGTCTCCAAAGCCCATTTACTATAGATTCTTAACATGGATATTTCTCAATTTGGACATTAATTTTCTTGAAGAAGACCTGATCTATATGTGGATTTCATAAAATTTACAGTTCGAAAAACAGACTCACATACCCAAGTTCCTAACACACTTAAAAGTTTCCTAATACCTGGTCAAGTTAACAGTTTTAAACATCAATAAATTAAGTGGAGCTACCATGTTTCCCCAAAAATAAGACCAGATGTTATATTTTTTGCTCCAACAACCTACATTTATTCATGTACAAAAATCTACATTTACTCAAACAGTCATGTCTGGCTGACGATCTTAACTGGGGCTTATGTTTGGGGTAGGGCTTATATTACGAGCATCCTGAAAAATCAGGCTAGGGCTTATTTTCCAGTTAGGTCTTATTTTTGGAGAAACACAGAAGTTAGGTCCTGCCATCGTGCTGGCTACATTCCACATGCTCCCAAACACAGGCGGCCAGTGACGGCCACAGCAGACAGCACAGATACAGGCAAGTGGCTTGTCCCTGTGTGGTCCCCTGGCCATAGCTCACCTGGGAGCTTGTTGGAATTACAGACTTTTGGGCCCACCCCAGACCCACGGAATCAGCAAGTGTCAGGTGAGTCCCGCATTGTTCTGATGGGACCTCTAGGCAACCCTGATGCATGCAAAAGCTCGAGAATCCTGGGTCCAGAACAAATCCCATGAATAAGACAATGTAGAAACAGTTTTGACCACCTATTATGCAGAATGGACACTAACTACAAGCCCTCCCCCCCCATCCCCCCCATTTATTTGGAGACTATGAAACCAGAAGAATAACTGCTTGGATCTTTGTTAATCCAGGCTCAGTGGGTATCTGGAGTGTAGAGCTGGGTGAGCAGTGGGTTAAGGTCAGAACCCACCTCGGATGGCGTTTTCTTTCCCCTACTTCCTAACACCCAAGGCCCCAGGACATGAGTGCTCTCTCACCACACACTGAGGCTGCCAGTGAGTGTAAGTCTCACGCGTGGAGTCACTCTGCTCATAGGACTGTCCTCACAGGGGAGTGGGGGTGGTGGGCTGGGGCCGCCTCTGGGCAAGGACCTTTGACAGGGTGGGCGTAGGTCCCACCCACTTCCTGAGCTCAGATGGTCACATCACCACAGAAGCCACATTTGAAGACAGTGCGATTGGCTGCCTGTTGTTTAAATGGCGGAGCTTCTGGAAGGCTGGGTCCTTGACTCACTGAGCCCAGGACAGAGCCACCCTCTGACCTGGCATACTCAGATCCTTTGCTCTCCAAGCCACTTTGTTTTATTTGGGGGAGTGTGGGGGGATATTATATATAGCAGCTTAACCCACCTTACAATATTAATACCCTTCTGATTGTTTATTTTGCCAAAAGAATTTACATATTTTATTGGGAAAGTTTTAAAAAGTCTCAGACCTTTGCCACTATAAGTATGAATATACTTATAAGTTACCCACAAAGTTAATAGACAAAAATAAGCTACTGTGCCAGCTTGAACAGTAGTCATGTCATCTCTTTACTTTTGACCTGAAAGAGAACAAAAGAATACCTAATTTTGTTGGTTTGTCATGATTAACTAGGAGTGGTTGGTCACAGAAGAGACCTAGGCCAAATACAGTACTTCATTCAGAAGTCAGCCGTGAAACGTCCCTCTGGATCCCGCCTGAGCTGGAATGAACCGCCGTTGTACTTGGGTCCCAGAAGGCTGAAGTTCAAGTCCTGAATGTTGCTATGACTAAGCTGTAATTCCCATGGTCAGCTGTAACTGCACCACACGGCCCTTCCACATCACTGATGGGACAAAGGACTGTCCTCCCCACCCCCCAACCCCCCCGCCCCACGAAAGCAGCTGCATAATACCTGAACTGCTGAGCCAGCCAGCTGGAAGACAGGGTGTTTAGAGCGCCCCACCGCTTGGATTCAGAGGCTCTCGCAGCAGAACACCTACGCAGAAAGGTTAGGTCAATATTCAGCCAGCGCCTTCAGAGCTTACCAAGAAAGCCACAGGCGGCTAGGGCCACAGTAAACCCTCAGCCCAGTTAGGGCACAGACAACAGAAACAAAAATATAACTAAAAAGTAACTCATGCTTCCTGCTGATTCAACAGCAAGCGTGGGCAGATGTTTCCACTGACTGCGGAGGGCATGTCTGCTTAACGGCGATAGTGAATGGACTGAATGGTGTCCCCACGGAACAACAGGTTCAAGCCCTAGCCCCAGAGCCTGGGCAGGTGACCTTGTCTGGAAGCAGGGTCATCGCAGATGTGATTAGTTAAGATGAGCTCGCAGAGGGGAGGGCGGGACCCTAATTCAGGTGACTGGGGTCCTTATAAGAAGGGGACGTTTGGACAGACGGGCACAGGGAGAAGGCCATGTGATGAAGGCAGAGTCGGGTGATGCGTCCAAAAGCCCAGGAACGCCCAGGATTGCCGGCACCCACCAGCAGCGAGGGGAGCCCGCCTGGGGCAGAGGCTCCCTCTGAGCCCCCAGGAGGAGCCAGCCCTGCGACACCGGGATCTCGGACGTCAGCCGCCACACCTAAGACGATGGAGTCCTGCTGCCCAAGCCGCCGGGTGGGCAGTGCTTGGTTATGGCGGTCACAGGCACCAGTACAACTAGAATCCAACTTTAATTTAGGTTCTATTCATCCAAACTCCTACAGCAAACATTTAGCATCAGCAACTTAACAGAACAATGCTCAGAGCTGTGCTGCCCCAGTATGGGCTGGGAGCTGGTTCTACTCATGTTACTGCATGTGTTAACCTTTTCACTGCGTTAACTGATTTCAAGTTTGTTCTCCAAAATGTGTCAGAAATCCACAGAAAATAATTACAGTATTTATTTTTTAAGTAAATAGTTAAAGTGATACATTTTATTAAAATAAATGATTAAAGTATAAAATTTTCCTATTATTATTCATTCTTGAAAAACACAAAAATATACAAAAATGTCCATTTGCTTTCCTAAACTTCCTTTCTGGAACACTGAGCTCATGGGGTAAAGTCGAACGCCACAGTCGACAGCATGGAAATATCATTTGACTAGAGACGAACGTCGCAGCGAAAAGGTTAAGCTAGCACGTCTGGCTGAGTCTCTTCTCACCCGGCGATGCTCACTGGGCGGCTCCCGCGTTTGCAGCTGTGATCCAGAGGGTGTCTATGCTGAATACAGAAATTGCCCCGACACTGGTCACAAGCCACCTGCAGCATTTCTTTCTTCTTACATCCCTCCTTTGAGCATCGGTATGTAAAAATCTGAGAAAACAGAAGTTACTTCAATATTTCAATTGCTTCAGTAAGCAATTACTTAACAAGCCCCTCAATAAGACCACTGACATTTAAACTAGAAACAGTCCTTAGCCACACGGAATGAAGGGATCAAGGTTTCATTCAAGCACCTTACTGTCAGGTAAGGCGATGAATACTAATTAAGGACATAGGAAAGTTTTAACAAGGGATAAATACAAAAGCAGCACATTAAGTTGGGGTGTTCTCAGGAAAAAAACCTCAACCCAGGGGAGCAGGGCTGGGACATGGGCGGGAAGGAGGCCAAGCGTGTGGCATCATGCACAGTTCCAGAGGACAGCTGGCTCCAGGGGCTCTGGGGACAGGGTAGGTGGTCCCCATCAGGGATGAGGGAGCTGAAATATCCATCTGGGACCCCTACACCTGTTAGTTATCGGGTTCTTTTTTGGGGGGTGGTATAACTTCCCAGGCACTTCCAGGTCTGTGCACCTAAGAATGTCAGTGGAGAGGGAAGGGGCCCAGCACGCTGGGGACAGGAGCTGTGAGCTGCCTCGAGTGACCTGAGCCTGTGTAGACAGCAAAGGAACACAGGATGCCCCCGAGCAGTGGGGGTCTGCTGCAGGCGAGAGGCACCGAGGAAGCACAAAGGAGGGCACACCCACGCATGGGGTGGGAGGGGCAGGGAAGGACCAGCGGGGAGGCTGGGTTGAGCCAACAACAGGAGGACCTGGTCCGACCTGGGAGGAAGACATGCCCAGGGGAGCTGTGGGCCTGTAACAGACAGGGAGGTTTCAAAAGAATTGTCAGAGAGCTGGGAGGGCAAAGCATGCGTGTGTGTGGCACGGGCAGGGAGGAAGAAACCAGGGCTGGGAAGCGACTCAGAGGGATCTGTGTGGGGTAGGTAAGGTGTACAGATTATTCTCACGTCTGAGGTGGAAAACAGAAAGCAAAGGGAACGGACCTTACATTTACTTATTGTAATTATGTATTTAACGTAATATATTAAGATAGTTGATAACTACCCAACAAGGATCCATGACTAGAAACTGAGATTCAAGCTTGACAAACGCCAGCTTCCTGGGACAAGATCTTCCAAAGCCACGCTCCCATTCTGGAGAGCAGTGCGGCAGGAAAGTGGGGGCAATGCATCTCAAAAAGCAGCTCGCCGTAGAACCACCACCTGAACAAACCAGCAGGGCCCTTGGGGAGGGCGAGCTGCAGCTGGTACAGACCAGACCTGGGAGGTGGCCCTGGGGACAGCCCTGAGGCTGGAAATCCGCAGTGCAAGGGGCTAGAACAGACGGCCCAGCTTGAGTCTCCTTGGGCCCCTGGTTAAGGGTGAGCATCTCTGTCTCTGGAATAATGAAAATGACAGAAAAGAGATTTTCTGGAAAGGGATAAACCCCTGGGGTCAAAGAATAAAAGGAAAACATGTGTTTTATATTTTAGGGAAAAAGCACACGGGTGAGTAGTCACGGACTTGGCGGGTATGAGCAAGCCATATGTGAGCTGACAGGGAAGGTCAGGAGAAGATGCTATTTATGAAACAAAACCCCCAAATGCTCAGAAACCAGCCATACTAGAAACTTCAGGTGATGTGGGACCACAGAAGCAATGGCTATGACCCACAGACCCTACCCCACACCAGCAGGAGACTCATGCTCTGCAGAGGCTCAGAGAGGCTCTGGCCTGGGGAAGCGGGCAGGAGACCATGAGAAGGACGGGAGGGGGACTCAGAGGACAGTAAGGAGTTCACGCTCCACACGTAGATCTGACTGCTTTCTCTGCCTGGCTCCCAGAATTCTGGAAGCCAGGAGGGCACTCTCCAGGCAGGGGAACAGAACTTCTCTGGGGAATCTCATTAGCCCAAGAGAAAGCCCCAATGACACAGATCTCTGGGGTCTCCTGAGGAAGTGGCCAGGGCAGGTGACCCACAGCGAAGGCCAGAGTCCATGCTGCACCCACTGTGCAAATGAGCAGTCAGCTACAGACTAGGCAGGTGAGGGGGACCTTCACTGTGCCACAGGGAAAACAGCCTGGACCCAGGTTACACAGGGCAAAAAAAGCTCAAGGGAAAAAGAGGAGCCCTGTCCGGAGCCTCAGCTCCCCAGTAAGAGAAATCGGAGAGTCCAAGATGGTGTTCCAGGCGGAGGAAGCACTGGACGATCGACTGCGTGCCCAGCATGACAGATGAGATGGACCTACGCCGGGACATTCCATGTGAAGTTTCCAACTTCTGGGGTAAAGAGAAGACCCTTAAAGCTGCCAGGAGGAAAGCTGTTCCCACAAAGGACCCGGGCAGAGCGGCTCGCGAATTCTCTCAAACTGCAGCAAAAGCAAGAAAACAAGCCGGTGCCCACAGAGACTGGAGAGAAGGATTCAGAGCAGGACACTCTCCCGGCAGCCCTTCCGGCAGAAGCAGAGAATAAAGCCCCTGGATGTACAGCAATTCATCTTCCATTGTCCCTCTGAGGCAATATCCTCCACCAAAATAAGGGGTAAACCAAGAAAGAAAACACAGGACACAGGGAGCCAGGGATCCACTGCAAGGGAGACACAGGGAGCTGGGATCCATGGAGAGAAATGCAAAGGAAACCTCTCAGGGGCGTCCTCAAGGCAACAGGCCTGGAACACCCACTCCAAAGCACCCTCCACATCTGCTTGGGAGGGTGGGGGGTGAGGTGGGAAGAGAAGGTATGAGTGTCAGAAAGGGGACAGGAACGCAACGCTCAGCTCACACTGGTAAACAGATAACGCACAAAGGAAAGGGTAAGCAAGCCAAACTGGAGCTACGAGTATAGCAACACTCACACTTGGAGAAAAAGCAGGCCCCCCATACAAACCACTCTGGCTAAGGGTGCAAGCCGCTCTGTGGGGAACAGGGGCCTGATGCTTCTCCTAACAGGCTCTATTCCAAATGCACAGATGCAGAACTTTGATAAAAATACTAACACTACCGAACACGAGCATTGAATGTTAGTTTCATATCCTTTTACATTTCCTAGCAGGTGCTTAGGAAAGAAGTGTGCATTAACAGAATGATTCTAGAACTCTCCATCTTGGGAGGAAAAGTGTGAAATTCCCGTAAAGAAAGCAAATCCTCATGTAGACTCAACTATTTAGAGAACATGTTTACACAACTGTTAAAACCAGTGCCATTCTCAACGTGGGAAAATGCTAATATGACGAGTATCATTAGAGCTTTATTTTGTACACAAACCATTAGGACTAATTTTCAGTTAGATAACTGACCCTTTCCCCCCCTGCGGAAAAACCAACATTCACAGAGGTACACAGAATTTGGCCTTACCTTGTCTTTCTTCCCAGGACGATATTTACAATCTCTATCAATGTGCTCACCAACCACAACATCTGGTATCTCTCCCTTTTTTACCGGGACTGGGTTATTACAAAGTGGGCATACTGGGACCTGAACATCCTAAAAATAATGAATACAAGATGATATTCCAGATTCAGATGATCAAAAGTCACAAAGAAAAAGTTACAATGGTATAGCACAGTTAAAAGCAGACCGAGTACAAACACTGATCATTAGGAGAAGGTAGGGTCAGTTTCGTGGATTAACAGTAAGGCACCCTAGAACTTGAGGAGAAAGTTTCCTAAGTGGAATCTAGTGTAATTTAAACATAATGGACTATTAACCACCTACAGAAATGACCCTAAGTCAGTGAAAGGCAGCCAAAGAAGGAAGCTGGTAAAAATCAATCGGATGGTCTCAGGACAGAGGTGTGTGTCCAGCACCAGCTAGGTTGAGAGGTGAACCTGGCCAAACACCTCCAGAGTGGAGATAACAGGAAAAAAGCACTACCCACAGACCCTCCAGTTCCCTTCAATTGCCAACAGCCTTTCGGATCCTTCTGTGGCTTCCACATGCAAGGAGACTCACTCATCAGCCAACAAGGGAGCACACAGCTAGGCTGAGCCCTCGGGGACATTACGATCATCCAAGCCCAAGACTGGGGCCATGGAGGCACAATGGAGCACCCAGTGGCTGAACGCCCAGCACGGTTAAGACATCCTCTGAGCCAGGGCAGGAGCTATGGACAGTTAGCTCATCAAGAACACAGAGGTGACTGCTGACATCCAGACAGGTGACAGGTAATCACAGAATCATGTAGGCCTACTGTCTGGGGGCTGCGCTGGAAAGTCATCCTGAAGTGCTCCTTCAGTTGGCAGCTCTGCCAAACTAAGAAATAAAGCATTACAAATGGTCTCGAGGCAGACTCTCCCTACCTAAGGACATCGGGAGGTCAAGTCAACAAATAAATGGATAGCTTGGCCTAGTCAACAGTGCCTGGTAAATGTGAGTAATGGTGTGAGTCACCCTCCTCACCAGGAAAACGCTTGAGGGTCAGACCCTGGCCAACACTGATCCAAGTATGAAATGCCAAGTCATTCACATTTCTAACTGCCATGATGGTGAAGCAGCAGAGTGCTGGTACAGAGTGTTCACTAAAATAATCTCGGAGCCACCCTGAACCAAAGCAAATACAGGCTGGGGGCCATCTGTAAAGTCCATAATAAAAGTCTGGACTTCTGCCACGTCAGTTTTCTTAAAGTCATCTTCAAGTTCCTATCATGTATTCCTTGACTCACTGAAATATGACATCAAGGCTGAAAAGTGACCAAGATAAGGAACCATTTTAATACCTTCCAGATTAGATTCCACATCAAGTATTGAACTATTTCTTGCACCCCATGAAGACACAGCCATGTTTTCCCTTGAATCAGAGGGAAAAGTATTTTAACATGTAAAGTAAGCTGTGAAGGTTTTTGAGTACATAAGAATTTGACTTCACGAGTCCCTGAAAATAAAATCAGTCGTATGTATGAAGAGCTGTGCTGTCCAGGACTTCCTGCGGTGCTGAAAGCTCCACACCAGCATGGCCCAACACAGCGGTTACTGACCACCTGAAGTGTGGCTGGTGTGACAGAAACTGATGTTCAGTTTTACTCCCTTTTAATTAAGTTATTAGCTACATGTGGCTAGTATCTACTTTGGGCAGCACAGCTATAGACAGTGAAGATTGGAATCTTTTGAATAAAGTACGATTAATTACCTTCTTGAATGCAAAGGGACATTTATGTGCTGCATAGGTAAAATGATCTTTACAGAAATCTTGTTCACATGCATCACATTTTAATGGAAGAAAATCTAAAAAAAAAAAACAAAACACAAAAAATAGTAAAGTGTTTTAAAGACTAGAACAAAAGAATTATAGGTCATACTGAATAGGTATTTACCTACACTAAGTTCTTTATGGAACTATGGATGTATCACATACATCCTTGAGGCATCACATACGAGGAAAACATTGGGAGTCATGAATTTCAGTGTCAGCCCCATGGAACAATCTGTAAAGCTACCTTTTCAAAGAGATCCCATCTCATTGGTATCACAAGTACTGAAGCAGCACACTTTATCCACTTGGCTCTGGCAACTTACATAATGGCCAGTTCTCCCCCCACAAGACCCAACAAAAGACCCATTTTCTGTTAGTATTCTCTTAAGAGTGCTTACCTAGCTGCTTGCAAGTTTCTTCTGCACAGTGTTTCCCCAAGTCAGGGAACTCCATTGTAAGGCAGTGGCCCAAACACAGATGGCAGAGTGCAATCACCTACAAGAAATAGACTAGTTAGGAGGGGAGCAATGACAGCTCTAACTACAGTCACGGCTAAGGAAAGCAAACAAACATGTGCTGTGGGGAGCGTCAGTGTCCGGATCACCGTGGGCCCCTGGGAGGATTAAAGCTTCACAAATTCTTGTCTTTCCACAAAGACAAAAATGGGAGTTTTAACATAACCACCAGCTCATTTGGAATCAGCCCCATTGAGATGGATTGTCTTCCACTGCTTTTAATTCTTAGTTTATGAAGCGCACCCTGAATTCAGGTTTTCATTAAACCAAACTGACATACTGATAAGGGCTTCCCATATTCAATTTACACAGCTGCCTAGGGAAGTAGCAGCCTCGGTGAAGTTTACAGCCACAATTTCATCTACTGAATATACTTGTTGACCTAAACAAACTGTTACCAGCTGCTAAATCACATTTGTTGACTACACTATCCTGAGAGATTGAACTCTGTCCCTTGCTGCTCTTTAACTCCCTTACGCATTGAGTTTTGCTCAGAACTTATTACTCAACGACAATCAACCTGGAATTGATCAAGGAGAAGGTAAGCTGTTAACGCACCATGGAAAACAGGTAAACAACTGGTGAAGTTACTGCGCTTGCGAGAAAACGGGTCCACGGCACAAGGTCCCCCCAAGATCTGCTACCCACCAACCTCTCAAAACTCTTGTCCCTCCGGAATTCAAGTCCCCAGAGGGTCTTTCCGGACCTTCCCTTCACCTCTCTGCACTCCTGGGAGCGTGTCCTAGGCAGGCCCCAGCTAACAAGTTCTCATCTCGGCTCGGTTCAGCGCCACTTCCTCCAAGGGGCCTCCGCTCCCACCCTCGGCGCGCCGCACCCAAGCCGCCTGGCCTCTCCTCTTCCAGGATCCCGCCCTTCCTTTCCCGGCGCCCGCTCAGCGGGTTTCCACCTGCAGGTCCGTCCTTTGCTATCTGCAGAGCGCAGGGACCACGACGGGCTCGCCCATTGCTGTGTCGCAAGCGCGAATCCCCACCGAGTGCGTGTTCCGAAGCCCCTTGTTGAAGGAACGGACCAGAATCCAGCCTCGGTCCTCGCCACCGCAGCAGCGGTGTGACAGCCCCCGACCTTGGTCCTTCTGCGAGGACATTAACGCGCTATCCGTCCTCACAGGCCGGGGCCCGTGCGGCTGGCGCAGCTTACGACCGCGTCTGACGCCGGCACCGGCCCCCGCGCCCCGCGCCCCGCGCCGGCCCCGACCCTGGACCCTGGGCGGGCTCCCCGGCCCGGCCCCGCACCTGGCTCTCGTCGGAGGCCCGGGCAGCCGCGGAGGCGAGCGGAAGGTGGCGGGGTCCGGAAGCTGAGTCTCCCTTTCCGTGGTCAGCCGCGGAGGACAAAGCCGAAAGGACGAGGAAAACTGGACCCGAGCAGCAGCCGAGGCCCGTCCGAGCTCGCGGGAGAGCGCAGCATCGCGTAGCGCCAAGCTCTCTGCCATTTATTCGCAGAGAATGCCGAGGCTTGGGCGTTCCCCGATGACGTCACCGCCCGACAGGCCAATCCCGTCCCGCCGCGGCCCCGCGTTCCGGGCGCGCCCGCAAATGTCATCGACAAGCCGACCAATCCCGCCTCGCCGAGGCCCTGTAGGCCCGCCCACTCCTCGCCCTTCCCCGCCCTTCTCCAACAATCTGGTAGTTTCTCGGAGCCCCCGAGTCACGGTGAAGCGGCTCTGCGCAGGCGCACTCGGTGCACCGCGAGCCGCGGGAAAGCTGAGTCAAGGCGAGAGAGGCCGGGAGCAGCGCGGCCCTGGGAGGGCAGCCGTGTGGAGGGGGCCCCGGGAGCCCCACCGCAGGTGGCTGGGCCTCGTTGGACGGTGCCCGCGGGCTTTTAGGCGGCCGAGCGGGCCCCGTAGAGAGGCCGCAGCGAGGTACGGAGCTGTCAGGGCCTGGCCCACGTCCGTTTATCACTCACGCCTGGGAGGGTCAGCGAGGCTCGGGAGCCGCCGGATAGCGGGGTCCTCGGGGTGCGAAGAGCGCCTGGCTGACTTAGCTGGCCCGGCGGCCCTGAGGCGGACAGCCACCTCCCTACCCGGACCTGAGGGGAGCGTGGGCCGCCCTAGGGTGCAAAAGAAAGGCCTTATGTTTAGAAAGAACGTGTAATTTCAAATTTACATAAAAATTGCAAGACCAGTCCCGAAATTTTCCGGAATCCACGTCTCCCAGATTCCCCAGTTGTGGGCATTTAACCTTATTTGCCTCATCTCACCAACTCCTCTGTAAATATGTGTACGTTAAGTCAGCCCTCACTCAGGGTGTCGAAGGTTCTGGACTTCTAGCCAAAGGTGGTAGAAAAGGAAACCAGGTTCACAGTAGGCCGATTGGTCCAGACGAGTGCAGTTCCTAGGGCGTCGCATCAGCGTGGGACAGACAGGTCGGTGTGCTGGAGCTCCGTGTGTAAACTCCCAGCGAACACAGAGTTAGGGAATTCTCCTGGGGGAGCAATCCTAGGGGCACATAGGGGAGCCTCAGTAGCAACGTTTTTGTCGAGTGATCAAGCCTTTGTTTCACGTGTTTGTTTAAAGACACCTTATTTAATATGTGTGGTTGATTCGTTAACATTGAAACGGCAGACAGCATTGTAACTCAACACCTTGAACTCAGTTTATCTGACACAAGTATTTTCTCCGTAGTGTAAACCACATCCTTCTTGGGCTTAGGAAACTGGACAACGCTGGAACACCAGCTTGGGGCCATTTTAAACAGCCAAATCACCAACAAAAGCACAGAAATGAGAAAACTGACCCTAAATCGGCGGCAAAAAGGACACTTGTTCACAGCATCAGCGGAAAGAAGAAGTCGGGTGTCGTCTTGTTCAACCTCAGCTGGAAACATTTGTCAGGCAACGCAAAAGGGTTTCACCAGTCGGCACATGTCTGAAAGACTGCGAAAGCACCACAAGTACTGATTTTGGAGTTACAAGTAAATTTTAGCAAGTAAACAAATTCACAAAGGTGGAATCCACAAATAGTGACCATCGACCGTGTGTGTGTATCTCTACATGTATGTGCCCTTTTTCCTTAGTCGTCTTCTGAACCATCTGAGAGCATGCTCTGGACATGATATGATGCCTCAGCACCCCAGTACTCCTGTGTGTATTTCCCCAAAGCAGACACTCCAATATAACCACTGTCCAGCCATTTCTGTGAGGAAATCATTATTGAAGCTATATCAAGGCCCAGTCCACACACCCCATTTGTGTTCTGCCAAGTGTGCCAACAATGTCTCTCTTTCCTTTCTACTCCAGGGTCCCATCCACAATCACATGTTCAGTCTCCTTCAAGCTAGGAAAGGCCCTCGGTCTTCCTGTCCCTGACAGTGTTTCAGTTTTTATTAAAGATCACAGACTTCATACATATAAGAAGACAGGGCTCTTTGAAAAAGACAGTAATGCCTGGAAAAACAGCCGTAGGGAAAGAGAAAGATCAAATATGCGATGGACGCCATGAAAGAAGCCACAGGCTCAGGAGCTGAGCCGGGCTATTGAGAGCAGGATGTTGTGGACGTCACTCATTCCTAGGGTCTCCAGGAGTCTGAGCGGACTCAGTGGCACGTCACACACAGGATGACTCTCAGGGCCCTTCCATGTTTCCTCAGGACCAGACCTCAGTTCGTTTTCTTGGTAGAATACCACAGAAATGGTGCCGAGTTCATGGGGGCACGAGATTGCCACCTGTGCCACCATGGATGATACTAATCTTAACCAACACGCCACTTGGCCAGCCCCATGGATGATACTAATCTCGAAGATTCTCGTGACTCCTCAGAGGAAGCAAGGCAGAACTCGGAGCCTTAGTTAGCAGACCTCAAGGCATCTACTTGAAAGGAAGAGGCCGCAGTGTGTGTCCAGTAACACACTGATTCCCTGTCTGGGGACCACAGTGTTCTTCACAGTAGGTCGCATTTCTGTTCCTTATTCTACATGGGAGGAAACTGAGGCACAGAGGTGTTAAGACACGTGCCCAAGAGGAGAGCGAGGTCCCCAACCCAGTCTCCTGAGCCCACATTCCCAACTCTGCCTCTGCTGCTGGCTGGATGAGAGTGGAGAGGCAGGCAGGGACCGGGCCATGCGGGTCCCCAAAGGTCACGAAAATATTTTCAACTTGAATAGAGTGCAGAAAGGTATTTGAAAAGTTTGAAGCATGACCATGAGGGGTGGGCAGGGAAGAACCTACGTAATAGTGACACAGCTGTACACGAAATAGTTGTAACTTTGTGTTTTCTAAAATTCAGCTCAGCTTTACTTCGGAGCACCCAGCCTGGCACAGGCAGACAACTGGTCCTGGCCACTGAATGTGCAGTCTGCTCTGGTGGTTTTGGGTTTTGTTTAAGTCCAGTCTATCTCATGACCTCAGTCACGATCTAGCTCACATTTCAGGCATTTCAGGGCTGCTTCCTACCACTCCTTCCTTTTATCAGTGGCACCTGGGTGAGGGGACGCTTATAGAACCACATGGCCGCAGAGGCTGGGAGCTCCGGCTTACGTGCCACCTCCCTGGCCTGCCTTTGGTCACGTTGCTGCTGGTGCCGTGGTTCCCATCATGGCCTCTGATCAAGGGCTCATTACGTGCACTGTAAGCCTGTCCCGACCCCAGGTTACATCTGTTTCAATGACCCTGTCAGCCTTCTGTGCAGGGCACATGGAGATTGGGGGAATCTCCTAGAGCTTGTGTGTGGGGAGCATGGCTCTGCAGACACAACCTCAGGTGTTCTGCCTGCCTCAGCACACCCAGGCGCCCTCTGCACCCTCCCTGGGTTGGCACAGGGGATCGTGTACCCTCTTGGAGGCACATATGGGAAACCAGGATGGAGCCCTCTGCTTTCAGAGCCTCTCTCTCTCACCTCAGGTGTTTAGCTTTTCAAGTCCCACAGCTGAGGGCTGTGGGATGAGCCTCGGGGCATCACCATAACCTGGGTGTCTTCCCTTTCAAGGCTCTTCACACTCTTCCCCAGCCCGGGAAGTAATTTCCTCCTTCCGTTGAGGGAATTCTCACATCATGTCTTTTGGATTCTTGCTCTAGGGTAAATCTCCCAAGCTTTGGTTCGTGGTTCCCTTTTCTCTCTCTTGAAACCTTGCATTAAGACTGTGGCTTGCTGTGAGCTCTTAAAGGTTTAGGTTTAAACATTGAAAGTGAGCAATGACTTCTTTGGCCTAGGCAGACCCTTCTGTGCTCCCCCTTTCCATGCGGCCACATGTGTTGCCTCATGGTGAGTCTTGATGGTAGAAAACTTCTGATCATGGAGAAGAAGGTGTACACTGACATTATGCCCACCACACCCTGTGCTTGAAAACGCTTGTTCGGCTGCAGGATGTGGAGGACAGATCAAGGACAGGCAGGGCAGACACGAGGCGAGCAGAGAAGAGGCAGCCGCTGTGGTGTGGAAGAGATGTAGTCGCCTCACTCACCTTCACAGCTTCCCTGGGAGGTGGGGCCTGAGCATGTGACCCTGTCTTTTGGGAGCAGAGCACCTTCTGGGAAAATGTTTCCTCCCTAATAAAAAGGAGCTACCCATTAGGACATGGGAGATATCTTTGTGATGCTTGGAAATAGTAGCCTTCTTGCTAACACCAAGGGCCAAGCTTAAGGACCAAGTCAAGCGCTGAGACAGCGGAGCAGAAAGGTGGCAACAGCGTAGGTTGTCGATATTGTTGAGCTGATGATCGATTTCCTTGCCTCTGGACTTCTTGTAATGTGAGATAACATACATCCTTTTGTTCAGGACATTTTGTTGTTGTTGTTGTTTTTCTATTATTTGTAGCCAAAGCATTTTTACTGAAAAATAGAAAAATTGAATGCAGGACATATCAGCTATAAGACAAGAGAGAAAGGTTGGCAACTAAACCATTGGATACATGAGTCTGGAACTCTGAGAAGAGGTCTGGCCATGAGAAATAAAGTTGGAAATCATCGACTTAAAGATGGCAACTGAATCCATAGTGTTGATGAGATTTTCTAGGGGAAACACTTAATATAGAGGAGAGGAGGGCCCAGGCCTGCACCTTAGGAAAACCCAATGTTTAAAGATCGGAGAGGACCAACCGAGTGGCTCAGTTGCTTAAGAGTGCAAGTTCCGAGCATCAGGGTCGCTGGTTCGATTCCCACATGGGCCAGTGAGCTGCCAACAGGTGGCAGGATGGCTCAGCTGGTGAAAGCACATGCTCCTAGCAATGTTGGTTCGACTCCTGCATGGGATGGTGGGCTACGCCCACCTGCAACTAAGATTGAACTCGGCACCTTGAGCTGAGTGGCTGTGAGCTGCTGATGGGCGGCCAGATGGCAACTGGACTTGTAGCTGAGCTAGCTGCGCCCTCCACAGCTAAGATTGAAGGACAGCAACTTGGCTGTTCCCATTCCCCAATTCCTCAATAAAATCTTTTTTATTTTAATAAATAAAGATTGGAGAGGGATGAACTGACCTAGTTAACTGAGAATGAGCAACCAAGACCATGGGGGGAGATAAGGAGAGGGAGGCATCACCGAAGCCCAGAGAAGAGAGATTTCAGAGGGGGGCTGGTTAGCTGCCTCCTGCTGCTGAGACAGCGAGAGGAAGACTGGAAGTGTCTGCTGGGTTTAGGGAGGAGTCACTGCTGCCTTTAGGGTAGCCCCAGAGGTGGAGGCAGAAGTCATATTGAAATGAGGTGAAGAGTATAAGGTGAAGAAATGGAGTTGGGGTGAAAGAAGGCAAGATACAGGCAAGAGAAGCTTTTACACCTAAATAAAGGTGACAAAATATATTTTCCCTGTCCCACCTGCTTGTCCTGCTGGCTAAACAGGTGACTCCCCCACTGCGCATTTCTCATAGGATGCTCTCTGCCGCTTGGACACATAGTCAATATTACCTTCATATTTATAATTCATGTCCTCGACAAATATTTTTGGGTGCCTGCTGGGGCGCAGCACCCTTCTTTGGCCTCAAGAAAATGTAATAAAAGATTAAACTGGGTCCCCATCTCTTTCCAGGAGCTTGTCTCCTTCCAGGAGCTTACGGTCTTGACCTTGGAGGACAAAAAGACCCACATCCTGAAACGACTGGATATTAAGTGTAAACATTGTGTTTATGAGGTTGCAGGACAGGCTGTCATCATCATTGGAATTCAGAGAATAAAACTTGTCCAGAGCAAGCCTGAAAAGATTGGGCTGGAGTACCTGGGGAAGTTTCACAGCGGGGGAAGTCTCCAGCAGGCCCTAAAAGACAGGCAGTGGGCTGGGGCAGGGCCGGGCTGCTGAGCCAAAGTGTGTGCCAGCCGGGACTCTTGATTGCAAGAGACAAGCGCTCACCTCGAAATAGATTTTCCCAAAGGGGGAGTTTATTGGCTCCTAGACGTGAGAGGTGCCTTCATGCGGTCCTCCATGCCTTCACCGCTGAATGCTGGCCTCTTTGTTCTGCTGCAGAGCAGCCTCCTCTGTGGGGTGGGCACATAGCTGCCATCAGCCTGGGCTACAGGTGGCCAACAGAGCAGTGTCTGTGTCATGATCTCACGGATGGGTTCTGATGTGCTCTCGTGGGCCATGTGTAGGGTGACTGCACATGAGCCTGACTGAGACACTTCTGAGAGTGAAAACGGGGTTCTGTTAACAACTGTTGGGACAACAGGCATAAACTGGGACTGCCAGAAAAACTGGGCTAAAGATCAGCATATCACACATCCGCTCTGTGGCCCCTGGTTGACAGCCCTTCCAGAATCACCTAAAATGGGGGAGAGATAGTCACAGTGCCATTGAGAGATGAAGGAGGGACAAGAATGCTGGGATCGTCAAATTAACAGGTGTCCACTGTTCACAGTGAGTTGGCAATTCAGGGGAAGGGAGAGAAAACAAATCAAGACTAAAGAACAAAGGTCAGGGGAAGGGAGAGAAAACAAATCAAGACTAAAGAACAAAGGGCAAAGTTTGAGGTCAAGCCAAGTAGACAGAGACGACTGGGACCGGGAGGCAGGGCAGCCTGGACTTCTTTTGTAAGGAAGACAGAACATGGTCCAGGAAAGGGATAGGTGAGAAGTCTGGGAGAGGTGCAGGGTGTATCGAGAAGGTTCAGGGGGAGCTCAGATTGCGTCAACATCGTGCAGGTGAGGTGGCGGGGCGAAAGGGGGGATGCAGGGCACAGGGGGGCACAGAGGGGGAGGGGGGCACGCCAAGTTTCAGCTTGAGAAGCAGCCTGGCGGAAATGCCATCTGGAGATGAGAGAAGTTTTTGTGGTTTTTTTTAAGATTTTTTTTTTTTTTAGTTGGGGAATTGGGGGAAGGGGAACAGACAAGTTGCTGTCCTTTTGTTCTTCAGTCTAGTTGTGGAGGACGTTGCTTCACTGGCCCAAGTTGGCACCATCATTGCGCTCTTCCCAGGCGAGGCAGATCAGTCGCTGACTTCTGGACAGCCGCTCCCTGCAGCTGCTGGCCACTCACGCTGGCTGCTGGCTACACACGGTAGCCCATGTCAACCCACTGCAGCAGGGGCTGCAGCCTACGCTGTCGCCGGCGACTCACGGCAGCCCAGCTCCAGGTTGAGCTGTTGTTCAGCATCTTAGCTGTGGAGGGCAGTGTCAGTGGCCCTCATATGTGGGATCCGAACCGGGGCCCTCTGGCCTCCCAAGCCAGCTCTTAACCAATGCGCCACTCGGCCGGCTCATGGAGATGAGATAAGTTTTTTGGGGGTCATGTTGAATTTTGGAGAAGTTGTAGGACTAGAGAAAGCACAAAATTTGAATTGGAATGCTATTTAAAGCCAAGCCAGTGGGTGAAGTCTCCGAAAAGAGAGTCAGAGCTGGTCAGAGATGAGCCTGAGGAGCCCCTGCAGAAAGGTGAGTGGAGGGAGAGGAAGCAGAAAGGCCCACAGCGAGGCAGGGGACCCGTGTTGGAGCAGTGTCTGGGAGAGGCAGAAGAGGGACCGGAGGCACAGTCCCCACACGCCAGGACGGGGAGGATGGAAATAGTCGCAGAGGCAGAGGCACGACTCCACACAAAGCAGCTGCAGAGGTCGGAGGTGGGACCGCAGGCGTGGAATTTGCTTGTTCAGTGCTCAGTTGCAGTACCTGCTCTCTCTCTGGGTGACATCATCTTTGGTTTAGACCTTTAGCCCCCTGAGGACGAGGACTGTGCCCTTAACCCTTTGTAGATGATGCTTCCACACCTCATCATGCTAATTAGGCTCCTTCGGGTGGCCAGACCAGAGAGAGAGAGGTGCTCAGGTGACATCAGGACTCTCAGGGCCGTGTCACAGGGCAGCCTTACTGGAAGGAGTGTGTCTCTAAATTCTGAGTGGCCATATATGTATATATGTGTGTGCTTATTGGGGCTTCAAAATGTATATACAACGATGACCATAAACTCTAGATAGGCCGAATTTCCTGCTGGAAACTTTTCTAGCAGCCCCGGTTCCCTAAGGAACAGGGCCTGCTGGGTGGGGTGGCGGAGCCCTGCTGGCCCTGTGCTGAGCTGGGAGTGCCTGGCCCTCTAACTGACCTCGTCGTAAGTCTCTGCACAGGCTTTGGTGTTGTGACCCTGAGCGTCACAGAGGGAGATGGGATGCTTGGAGTAGAAATTGCCAACAGAAATCACACTCTATCCCCCTAGACATGTGGTGCAGAGCATAAATATTTTATAGGCACTAAGTCAGCTAGACAGGTTTTAATTCCAGAAAGTGATTGTAAGATAAATGACGGGAGATGCCGCATTCGATCCGCCTCAGACCATTGCTAAGCCAGCCTACGCCCTGCGGGACCTTCCCCAGGACCGCCTCTGGGGGGAGCAGAGGCGACCTCCTGTTTGCTTTTCCCAGCTCTTCATTTGTGATGTGACGTTAGCTAGCATAGGGGCCCCTTTTATTGCGGAACCTGGGTCAGGTGAGTGTTGCTCCCTCCACCCTTTAACAATAAACCATTATGAGGGCTTCTGTTTTCAGTATCCTCCTAAATATTGTCAGAGGTGATGACCTTGGAGAACCTTTGTTCAGTGCTGCTTGTTGGTAGTTGTCCAGATAAATTTTTGTATAAGTGGAAATGCAAATACAAAATTAGAAAAACATGAGACAGCATTAAGCATATGGGGGAACCCGGCACCTTGGGAGAACCTTCTAAACCTCCTGTCAGACTAAGTCCCCCATGGATGCTGAGCAGCCAGGGCTGTGCATCGCTCCTTTAACCTCAGGTGTCACATCCTCTCCGTGTGGCTCATTCACTGATGTGGCAGAGATCCAGACACTCTTCCCTCCAGGAGGAGACTGGCCCAGCGGGCGGTCAGAGCTGGAAGCCTCTAGAAGGGGGGCTCCAGCCTTGCGACCTGCGATATGGACTGTGCATGTGTCCTGGAGTCGGGCAGTGGCACGCAAGGCCTCGGGCAAATGTGTGTCCACGGAAGGCTGGAAGTACAGACAAAATCTGTAGTTAGCTGTGCTCAGCGAGGCTTCCTAGTTTTCAGAAAGGTGAACAGTCAGGGAGCGGGGGGAGGGGCCGAGATCCTCTGAGCTGTCACTCTTCTATCACTCAAAAATGATTTCTAGCCGGCCGAGTGGCTCAGTTGGTTAAGAGATGGCTCAAGAGTGTGAGCTCTGAACAACAGCGGTTCCATGCCCGGCCCGAGCTGAGCTGCTGCTGAGCTGCCAACAGGTGGCAGGATGGCTCAGCTAAAAAAAAAAAAAATGATTTCTTTATCAGAAGTTTCAAAGGAAGCTGCACCGCGAGCCAGATGAGACTGGTACACTTTTGCCAGCCTGCCTGTTGGGAAAGCGTCCTGCGCGGTGGGCCCCAGTGGCGGGACCGGCACCTCTCCCTGCAGTGGGCATGGGTCTGCACTTCCCTGCTCCCCTCAGAACTGCTACGGGATACATGACAACGCCTTGTGAGCTGTACACGTTACCCCGAAATTAAAACTCGCATGACTGTTGTAACCACACCTAACATCTCGATTCACAGGAGCATCGACCATCCAGGTCGAGGCGGCAGGCGCTCACCTGAAGTGGAAGGAGGCAAGTGTAAGGTAGGAATCAGCTCTTTGTTTTTAACTTAAATCTTTATGCTGTGCTGATGGGGATTGCCGCCGAGAAAATGTCCAAACCTGTAGAAAAGTTATAAGCATTTATTTGAGCCACATTTTTGAGGACTTGCCGGAAGCAAGATCTCAATGGACTGAGAAAAAAAATGCTCCTGAGAATGGCAGTTTTGCGGTTTCTTTTATGTATTTATAATCAAAGGAGAAAACATAAGGAAGGTATATGAAATCCATTGGTGGTAGGTTAAGGGGGCAGGAGAAAGAAAAGTGGAGAGATCTCAGATTGGATAAAAAGCAACACCAAGAAACACGTGCTTTTACGTTGGCAGGTGCAGGATAGCAAATATCTAACATTTCAGCACATGGAGAGGGTGCATGAGCACAAGGGAATGAGGGGTCTGTGGCCTCCTGCTCTGGTCTCAGTGGTTGTGCCTTCGATGGGTCGGGAGAGACAATGACCCTGACATTTCAAAGGTGTGTCATCCTAGAAGAGTAATAGGCAAGGTTCATTTAAGGTAAAGACTGACCTTTGCTAAGGGACATACAGGCCTGGGATGTGACTACCCGCCATGGCCTGTCCAGTTAGAAATCTGCCATCAGACCATCCAGCGTCGTCACTTTTGGTCACCAAGCTTGTAAGGCTTGCCATGCGGGCCCCCAGAGCTTGTCAGGTTTGGAATCTGACCCCTTTTTCTTTCACAGGAGAAATAGGAAAATTGCTTTGAATCAACTTTGGGACACTTGTAGCCACCCCTGTGTCTTGTCCAAGACTGGCAGTTAGTGTTGCTTTGGCTTAGAAAGCTATTTGCCCCCTTTCAAGGAGCAATGACTACATTCACTCTGTATCATCTATGGTATTCCCACTTCAAATGTTGTTATTGATTTTAAACATTGCTGTGATCTGGGCCACCACCGCTCGCTGCCTCAGGATTCCTCGTCTCGCGACTGCGACGAGTCGATCCAAAAATCACAAGAATACAAAGTCATCATTTCATTTTCAACTTTGTGTTGGTTCCTGAGTGGGTTCTGAATAGGTGATAATCATCCTGATTTCCCAGCGACGCGGCGTTCCTGGCAGGCCCCTCTGCCACCCCCTCGCATCACTGCGTTGGATGCTCAGGCCCCCGCGCTCCGTCCTGGAGGCAGCGGCACAGCTTCGTGCAATGACTCCTGCTGGTTGGCTGTTGGGCTGGCTCATTATTTTAATCTGTGCATTTGGCTAGGACTGTGACACGGTTTCCTTTTCCCGCAAATATGAGTTTGAAATTGAGAGGGAATCAATTCCCAGGCGGTGGAGGGGACGGAGAGCTCGCTTTAATTCTAGTTGCCACGCCTGGCGGTAGGCACTGATGTGGGCGGTGCTTACATCAGCCCAGGCCTTCCTCTCTGGAACCCAGCAGGGACATGTAGGCCACCCCAGCCAGAGGTCTGTTGAAGACCTGCATCATACAACATATGTACTTTGCTTGGTGCTGTTGGGGGCAAAGAAAAGGCCTACGATTTGAGCTTTTAAGCTGCATGAAGCGTGAAAACATATATATTACAGAGAGCGAGCGAGTAACAGTCCAACCCAGAGCAGCGCCCAGGGCAGGGAGGATGAGTGGCATATGTCTGTGGGAAGGGGAGCCCGTCTGTGGCTGGATTCCTCCCGGAGGTGGCGTGGACAACGTGTGTCTTGGAGAGGGACAGAGGACTTGGCCATACGTGCAGGGGCAGGAGCAGAGGGAGGGGAGTGCAGACCCTCTGAGACCACTACACCCCTCGCGCAAGGCTCCTTCTGCAGGGCGCAGCGTCAGCGGGAGGGGTTGCCTGCGGGGTGCGTGTACTGTGCCCTCTGGCATTGCACAGGTGAGGGTCTGCATGGGTCTGAGCAGCCAGGGAAGGGTCTGGCCCTCAACACTTTTCCCGGAGGGCCTCGGGTTCATTTTCAGTGTCATTTATACAGACTTCGTTCTTTCGAGACCAGGAGCTGTCCTGTCTTTGGTCGCTGACAGTCAAGCCCCACGCAGAGCTGAACCGCGTTGGTTTTGGCCATTCCAACAGCATTGTGATTCAATCTAGAGAGTTCTGCCTGAAGGGAAAGAAGAAATGAAGGCAGAGCTGAGAGTGTGCACTCGGGGAGGGAGGGTGAGGCAGCAGGTGCGGACCTCCGAGGCAGCAGCCCTGCCCGCCCCTGGGCCCAGCAGCACCAGGACCCCCTGGATTTTTCTGGAAAGGGCTTCTGTGTCCTTGGCTGCCAGTAACAGAAACTATAAAACAGACACTAATTGTAGCGATAAATTCCCAGGCACTTCCCCACAGGCAGCGGGGGCCCCGCCTCGCAGGGGGCTCTGGAGAGGGCTGCCCCCAGGCTTTTCCGGCAGCTCTGGCAGGGCCTCCGACAGTTTGGTGGTTGACTTCAGCTTTAGGGTAAGGCGTCCACTGTGCCACGTCCCTGCCACTCTAGGGTCCCCCTGGACAGTCCACAGAGTCGAGCAGGAGGGGCTCTGGTCTCCTGAGGCCAGCGAGATGGACAGGGCACCGAGTCCCACTGCACCCGCGGCCGGAACCGGTGCTTTGGTGTCAGGGAGAAGCGTGCTCCTGCCCCCATCCTTCAGAACCGTCCATGTTCAGCCTGTGCCCCCTACTGAGGCAGCCCATCACTGGACCGAGGGCAGCCCTCTTCTTCCTCCATCAGGGGGCCGCAAAGCCCCCCTCATGTGAGCACAGGGGCGGGTGGATGGGATGCACTGCCACTTGAGCCTGCTCGAGCCTGTCCCAGATGCACCTTCCGTCTCCTGATGGATTGCTGCTGGGCGCTCTGACCTGTGACAGAGTGGACCTGACGGAGCCCAGCCCCGGGGGACATACTGGCTACAGTCACTTCACATCCCACGGCCAGAGATCCCATCTCTGTCAGGGCCGGGAGCTGTCGTGTGGCTCTGTGCTGGGTGACGAGGGAAGGGGTGAGACTGGCCTGGCGGCCCCACTCTAGGGTCTGCACTGACTCTCCACCAGGCTGGTCCTGAGTTCCATGCCGTGTCCTGTCCCGCCACAGGGGTCCCTGTTGCTGTGGTTCTGCCCGCCTGGCTCAAGCAGAGGGGCTGCTTGCAGTGCAGGCTGGATGTGCTGTGATGCCCTTCCCTGCTCTGGGCCACCCCAAGCTGGCCCCTTGGGTGTCACCAAGCATACGGAAGGGGTGTCATTCCTAAGTGTGGACTGTGCCCCTCTTGGACCTGAAGTGGACTGACGGTCAAGACTTTTGTCCCCAGTACTTTGCTCTGGGAGGGATTTACAGGGGACACGTCCCGACTGAGCGCTCCTAAACCTCCACGGATGCCGTGAGTCTCTGAGTTGCTTAGGGTTTCCCTGCCACCCCCTGGAGAGCATGTCTTCTCCATGTCTTCAGCATGCTTGTCACTCTTGCTTCTCTGGCCCCCGTAACATGATGTTGTTAATATAGTGGACCAACGTGATGGTCTGCACAGTGTCCAGAGGGCCCATGTCCCTTCATCCTGTCTGATGAAGATGGAGAGGTACCACAGCCTCGGTGCCCAAGCCCAGGTGCAGGCGCTGCCCTGTGTGACCGACTCTGCTGACCCTCCCTGCTGGTAGGTGTGGAGACAGTGCTTCAGCAGCCATGCTTGAAAGCAGGGCTGAGGCCCAGCGGCCATGCTGGCCCTGGTCACATCCATTTCAGAGCTGTATTTGGCGCTTCTGCTTGGTAGATTTGCTGTGGTCCACTGTCAGAAGTCATGGTTGGTTTCCGTACGGCCAAAATAATTATTTAAATGGAATACAATGGGGCCTGCTAAGCCTTCATCCCTTAAATCCTTGAGGATGGCTCAGACCTCTGCAGTCCCCAGGGATGTGTTGATCTGATCTGCTGCCTTGGCAAGGGGACTGCACGGTCAGAGGCGTCTGCTTGGCCTTTTAGCCTAGGATGGCTCCCTCCATGTCAAGGAAGCAAAGCCAGGGTCCTTCCAGGTACCAGGTGTGCCCTCCAAGTATGTACGTGGAGAAGTGACTACTGCTTGGGACCAGATGACTCACTGGGCATTGTGAGTCTTTCGATCCCCAAGTATTAATGTCACCCTGAACCCTGGGTCCAAGAGTCCTTGAAGTGTCTGGGTAACCCCCTTTCCTCTGTGGATGGTGACCTAAGGGTGGCCTTTGGGGAAGGCATGGATGTCCTGACAGTTTGCATCCGCTGTGTTTTGTGCCGTTCTTCCTCATAAGGATCCAGCCAGCCTCCACTTCAGCCAGTGGTCACAGAGGTCACAGGCTGGCTCAGGCCTGGAGACGGGGCAAAGGACAGGCGTCCCCTGACTGTGTAATTAGCTCTGTGGCTGCCTGCCTACCTGTCCCCTCCCCAGTGCACATGCCAGCCGTGCTGCTCTGACAGTGGCTGTCCGCCTCCTTTCCATATTTACGCGCTGCCACCCACTGTGGGGTCCCGTCTATGACAGCAGCAGCTGTCTCCTGCTCCGGTTACAGGGGACAGAACTGCTGGCCCCAGTGAGCCTGGCACCTCTCGCCCTGCCAGTCCCTGGTGGTCTGGCAGACTGTGTGCCGGGCCCTTCTGTGAAGCATGGTGGCTGGTGTTCTGTTTCCAGCCGCTCGTGCTGTCTGCACATTAGTAGGCCGGACTCTCGGTTCCTTCCTCCACCATTTGCCACAGCAATTATGACATTTATGTTTCAATTAGTGTGGGTCATCACTTTCTCCAGACTCCCAAGAACCATCCTAGAAGCATGTCAGCACTGTCTCCCAGGGTGAAATCCTGCATCCTGGGAAAGAAAACATTAATAAACTACACTTTATTAAAATTAAAAACTGCTGGTAAAGATATAAAGCAACAGGAGCTCTCTTCATTGCTGGTGGAAGACAGTTTGGCAGTTCTTACAAAGCTAAATACACTCTTACCATACAACCCAGCAATTCTCTCCTAAGTATTTACCTAACTGAACTGAAAACATACATCCACACAAACCTGCACATAGATGTTTGTAGGCGCTATTGTAGGAGTTTGTATTCATAGTCACCCCAACTTGGAAGCAACCCAGGCCCTTCAGTAGGTGATGGGTAAACAAACTATGGTCCATCCAGATGATGGACTATCATGCCATGAACAGATGTAGAGGAGCCTTTATCCTCCATCAGGCGCAACTGATCTCACAGATTCATTGCACACAAAATTTCAAATATTTAACAGTTAAGTATCATGACTCATCGCTTCCATATCTTCCCCCTCTACCGTAACCTATCGCCAGTAACCTATCACCAGTCGTGTTTGTGACTTAGTACCGACTGTCCTCCTGTGGAAACAGACTGAGACGGAGAGTTGTGTGCAGGGCTTGTTGAGAGCACGTCCAGCACAGCATCTGTGAGGGCAGGATGGATGGAGGGTGGAGGGTGGGGCAGAGGGTGCAGCTCTGGGGCTGGGATGCCCCTTCACATCGTCCCAAGTTGAGGCCAAGGGTCTGGGTTACTATGCCCCTCATCAACCAGTTATGCTGTGTGGGCTTCCTCAAGGAGCGTAGCTTTGAGTGAGGGGGTTCCTTGGAGAGGGACACCGCTGGGGGAATGAACCTCAGTTGTGAAGGGTTCAGTGTGCCCCGGCGGACCTTAACAGAATCTGCACAGGCACCGTCTCCATTTGTGGATGAGGCCCAAGGCTGCAGAGCTTGCCCAGGGCACCGCACTGTGAGAAAACCTGGAGGCCTGTCTCGTGCTGCACAGAATGCTGACCGTGGAGGACTGACCGTTTTAAACTATTAACCAGTGCTTGGGATAGGAATTGTGGTCTCTTGCTCAAAGAGAGAATGGGTGGGCTTTCTGTGTAAAGCTGGTCTCAGGACCTCTCATGCAGGACACCTTCTCCCGGTATTCCAGTCGGACGTGGTCATAACGTCAACAATCCGATTGTCAAGAAAAGCTGAGAGCTGCGTAAGCAAGCAAGGACGCAGGCGAGGACATGGACTGCCTGTCTGTCAGTGTTAACAGTGGCAGCATTAGAAATGAGTTGGTGGCTTAGCTGGTATTTTTAGAACTCCACTTGAAAGGGATAAGGATTCTAAAACCAGGAAAGTAAATGCTGTGGAAGTCAGTAAAAGATCATAGTTAGCTTCATGCTCTTTGTAAAGATACTATTACAAATTATGTGGGAGGACTTAGCTTTAAAATTGCTTGAAAAGCGGAATTTGATCTGAGACAGGCAGCTGGATTTAAGAGAGGAAAGATGCCGTAAGTTGGGTTGGAGATTTAAAAAGATACTGTGTTTACGACAGACAGTGAGAATGCTTTGAGTGGCCTGCCTCTATGAGGGGTGTGACAATGACAATTCTTGAGTCTGAGAAACAGAAAGTAAAAAGATTGAAGAAAAGCAGATGGAGCCTAAGAGACCAGTGGGACACCACCAAACAGACGAACATATACATTGTGGGAGCCCCAGAAGGGAAAAAGAGAGAGGGCAGAGAGAAAATCTGAAGAAATAAAAACTTTCCAAATTTGATGAATATAAACATCCTACAAGCTCAATAAATTCCAAGTCATCTGAAATCAAAGAGCAGACCACACTGAGAAACATTATAATCAAAACTTTTAAAAGCCAAAGGCTTTTAAAATATCAAGAGAGAGGCAACTCATCACAAAGAAGGGACCCTCAAGATTATAAACAGATTTCTCATCAGAAACTTTGGAGGCCAGAAGTCAATGGGCTGTTATATTCAAAGTAGTAAAAGAAAAAAAACACCTGTCAACCAAGAATCTTATATCCAGTAAAATTGTCCTTCAAGAGCAAGGGAGAAATTAAGACATTCTAAGATAAACAAAAGCTGGGGGAGTTTATTACCACTAGACCAGCCATACAGGAAATGTTCAAAGGATTGCTGCAAGGTGAAAGGAAAGAATACTAACAGATAGTAACTCAAAACCAAATGAAGAAATAAAGATATCAATAAAGGTAACTACATGGGCAATTATAAAAGCTAGTATTATTGTAAGTTTGTAACTCTACTTTTGTTTTCTACACGATTTAAGAGACTAATGCATGTAAAAGAATTGTTAGTTTATATTTTGGGGCCTACAGTATATAAAGATTAATTTTGTGTTATGAACAACTAAAAGAGGTGAGGACAGACCTGTTTATTACAAAGCTACAGTAATCACAATGGTGTGTATTGGCATAAAGAGACACACAGAGAACAGACATATAGAAGAGAATAGAGAGCCCGGAAATAAACCGTCACACATCTGGTCAAATAGCTTTTGATAAGGATGCCAAGAACATTCAATGGGGAAAGGACAGGCTTTTCAAGGCATAGTGTTGAGAACACTGGATTTCCACATGAGAAGAGTGAAGTTGGACTCTTATATACCTATACAAAAAAATAACTCAAAATATTTTAAAGATTTGAATGTAAGACTTAAAACTATAAAACTCTTAGAGGGAAACAGGGCAAAAGCTTCATGACATTGGATTTGGCAATGAATTCTTAGATATGACACCAAAGGCACAAGTAACAAAAGAAAAAATGGACAAATTGGACTTCATGAAAATTTAAAAATTTTCGCATTAAAAGATAATATCAACAGTAAAAAGGCAACTCACAGAACAGGAGAAAATATTTTCAAATCATATGTCTGATGAGGGTTTAATATCTAGAATATATAGAGATTTAGAAGTTCTTTAGGAGGAATATATAGAGAACTCCTAAATCTCAACAACAGGAAAATAAACAACCTGATTTAAAAATGGCCAAAGGGCTTCGATAGACATTTCTCCAGAGAAGATACACAAACAGCTCATAAGCACATGGAAAGATGCTCATCATCCCTGATCCCCAAGGAAATGCACCTCACGCCTGCTAGGATGGATCCTATTTTTAAAAATAAAATAATAAATGTTGGTGAGGATGTGGAGAAATTGGAACCTTTTGTGGGAATCTAAGATGGTGTAACCACTGTGGGAAAGAGTATGGCAGTTTCTCAAAAAACAAAAAATTGAATTACCATGTCACCCAGCAATTCTACTTCTGGCTATGTACTCAAAAGAATTGAAAGCAGGGTCTCGAAGAGATATTTGTACACCCATTTTTATGGCATCACTATTCACAATGGCAAAACATGGAAGCAACCCAGGTGTCCATTGACAGGTGAATGGATAAACACGTGGTCCATCCATACAATGGAACGTTATTCAGCCTTAAAAAAGGAGAGACATTCTGACACACGCTACAGATGGATGGACCTTGAGGCCATTGTGCTGAGTGAAATCAGCCAGTCACAAAGGATACACGCTGTGTGATTCCACTGACATGAGTAACTTGCAAGTACTAAGAGTGGTCAGAATCATAGAGACAGAACGTAGAATGGTGGCCGGGGGCTGGGGAGTGCTGCTTTATGGGTGGACAGTTTCAGCTCTACAAGTCGAAAGGAGTTCCGGAGACAGGCAGTGGTGATGGTTGCACACCTTAATAAATGCATGTAACACCACAGAACTGTACACTTAAAAATGGCGAAGATGGGAGACCTTGTGTCACGTGTATTTTACCACAATCTAAAAAATCTCGGTGAGGCCACCTTCCTTGACTTCCCTGTGTGGACTCACCACCCTCACAGAATCCCTGCAGCCCTTTGTTTTCTACCTCCAGCCCTTCTCACCATTTAACATACCACCTCTTTTACGTATTTACCTGTACGCTGGATGTGCCTCCCACTAGAGCGTGGGGCAGGGCTATAGCTTGTTTTGTCCATGGCTCTATCCACAGCCCATCGAACACCCTGGCACACACAAATGTTCAATCAATACTGGTTCATAACAGCTTTATTGAGCTACGTCACATGCCATGCAATCCACCCATTTAAAGTGCGTAACTCAGTGATTTTTAGTATATTCGCAAGGCTGTGTAGCCATCCGCACTGATACCAGAACATTTCGTTATCTCAAAAAGAAAGCCTCTCCCCATTAGCCCCGCTCCCCAGAGCCCCAGCCCTAGGAGACCACGAATCTGCCTTCTGTCTCTCTAGGTTCACAGAACAGAGTCACACAGTGGTCATCTTGTGACCCGCCTCCTTTTCTAGGGCACTGCCCTCAGTTCATCCAGGTAGCCGGTAGCAGTGCCTCACTTCTTCCTTCGTTTTTTTTCTCACCTTACCGTTTGGTCCGCACGCCATCTTTTCTCCAGCTCAGCTCAGCCTTCACCTTCTTTGTAAATCTTCCCAGACCCGGAGCACCAGCAGGCAAGGTGCCCAGGGCAAGCGCACATCGCTCTCCTAAGCCTCAGGACTGAATTACTTACCCGCCGAGACTATCATTTCGAGCTTGCCTTTTATGAGGGTCGATTTCCTGTTTTAATTTTCTCCTGGAAGCCGTTGGGGAAGCCCATCTAAATCTCCCAGCCAACACACCTGGAAGTCAAACCCACCTTACTCCTGCCACCAAGTGGTGAGCAGCAAGCATGACACCAGTTCGCACTGGCCAGACCAGACCCCAGATGAGGGAGGCGACCAGGCCCAGCCGTGCCATTGCCATGTGTGACGTGCAAGGACTTAACGCCCCGTCGGCGCATGGCATGCGTGCCTGCCTTTACTGAGCATGTTTCAAAGCCCAGAGTTGGGCTTCTGATGGACTTGGTTAGAGGTTGTCTCAACCACTCATAGACCAGGCTGGTCGTCAGAGTCACCTGTGGATGTTTAAAAATACAGATGCTCAGCCTACTGAGCCTGACTCTCTGGGGCTTCTGTATTTTAAAAATCTCAGTGGGCTGAGAACTGCCAGGCTGCGCTGTATTCCTGCTGTCCACTGCAGGGTCTGCTCCTGGCACAAACCTCACACACAAAAAGCACACAAGTACCAAGTGAAGCAATTCGGGGAATGAATGAATGGCTGAACACTAAAGATCTTTATAAAACAGTTCTTTTTACTGAGATGAAATTCACATCACATAGAATTCCCCATTTTACAGTGAACAGTTCAGCGGCATTTGGCACATTCACAATGTTGGGCAGCCGCCCCCTCTGTGTAATTCCAAACATCCCATCCCCCGGAGGAGACCCCGCGCCCACCGGCCGTCACGCCCCATCCCTGCCCCAGCCCCTGGCCACCACTCACCCACTTCCTGTCTCCGTGGATGTGCCTGTTCTGGACACTTCACATAAATGGAATCACACGCTGTGTGTCCTGTGACTGGCGCCTCTCAGGGGGCACGGTTCCAGGGTTCCTCCGCGTGCACGGACGGACCACGCAGTGTTATGCATCTGTTGATGGACATGGAGAACAGTTTCAGTGTTGATATTTCTGTAGTCAGCTCACAGGATTCACACAGGACCCCTCTCTGCCTTGTTTCTCATGAACCTGCTCACTCCAGGGTTCTTTGATCTACACACCCGTGGCTTTCTTAGTGACATGAAGGATCATGGCTGGCTTTATATGACACTTCCGGAAATAAAGAAGTTAGCCTTAGATAGTAACTGCCGAGGGAGGCCACGCGTCCTCTTCTCAGAAAGCTCTCTATTTGTTCGAAGCTTTTCCAGTTGCTTTGATTTTAGCCTCAAAAACCCTACGGTAGGGCCCCATCCAGCCGACCCCACCTCCACCCACATCAGGAGTGCTGCCCACTTTGGACTGCACATGGCAGGACAGTCAGCGTGCGCCCCATGAGCCCAACTTCTGCTCAACAGGACGCCTTGGAGGTCACCAGTGGGCTTGTGTGCGTGGCTGGTGTCCTGTCATCACGCGTAGTGCTCCGTGTGCACCTCGCAGTTCACTTGCCCATCCTGCACTCGCAGACATGGGCGCTGTTCGCACCTTGGCCGTTCTTGTTGGCTTATCATCACTCCTGGGTGCATGGCGGGCCGAGTGGACTGCCAGCTGAGCCTGAGATTTGAATCCAGATTCGTTTGTTCACGCATTCAGCCATGTTTACTGAGAAGGTCCTGCATGGGAGGCCCTGTCCTGGGGATAGAAAGTGAACAGCACACACGTCCTGTTCTCCCGAGCGTCCGGCGTAGTTGTCACTGAGATAGCCGGTAAGCACTGAAAGCTGCTGGGGTCCTGACCTCGCTGTGCACCTTCTTTCCTGCCAAGGAACACTGATCTCCCCCCTCAGTGTGGTGACGTTTGCCAAGGTGACGCTGTGCTGGCCCTGTCGATGGGGGATTTGCTGAGTGTAGGGGCCTCGTGGCCTTGACGCTGCCATCCAACCCTCAGCCCCCAGCAAAGCAGACTGGCTGAAGTGGCACCTGAGCGTGGGCAGCCAGTCCACCAGGGGGGCCCAGGAGAGGGTAAGAGGCAATTAGATTCTCTGTCCTGGGGTCCAGCGTGAGACTGAGCCAATCAGGGTGTCTGGACAGATGCCCCCAGGCAGAAGGGGGTGGGGCGGTGACACGCTGAAGCCTGCAGTTGTGAAGAAGAGACAGTGACAGCCACGGGAAGAGTGGCAGAGGCAGAGACCCCTGGAGGGAGTTCACAGGTCCTCGGGGACTTGGAGAGTCCAGGCCGTGGGTCCCGCCTGTCCCTCTTTAGGTCCCTACAACTGGCAGCCCTTCTCTGGAGCCGCCACAGCTTCGTCCCTCTTCCTGGATGAAAACAGTGTCTTTAGGGCCCTTCAGCCCCAGAGAAAGTGAGGCCAGGCGTTTCTGCTCTGTCTGCTATGCTCCTCGAAGACCATCCTCTTGTTCTCTGACACCTCAGCTTTCAGACTTTAATCTCTTGAGAATCAACCTCCCGAAATTAAGTCACCCAGATTCCCAAGTAAGCTGAAAAGCCATTTTTCTTGCAAACCTTTTATGAACATAATTTAATACAAGGATAAACTAATAAACTAAAGACCATATATTTTACCAGTAGCACAATATAAGAGACAGATGAACAGTATTTTAGCCAAGGGAAAAGGAAAATAAAATAGAAATAAGATGTAAGCTATATTCTGTGCATAAATAACTTTAAAGAGAAATAATAAAGATGACTTCTATAACTTTTAATATATTTGGGGAGAGATGATTTAATTGCAGTAAAATGAGAGGTGATAAGTGCAGCTGAAGTTTTGCATGATCAGGATTAAGTTAGTTTTTAAGAAGACACAATAAGGAAGTATAATTTTATAGGGTTTTTAAGATTCTGCAAAATTTCTCTGCATTTGAGTGCCACAGATTTCGACAGGGCAAATCTCCCTTCATCTGGAAAGTTGCAAGTGATTTTTAAAACCTGCAAACTTCTTTTAAAATCTCATCAAACAAAATACTGTTTAGGAATAAAGAAATAACGAACTATTGATACACGTGACAACTGGATGACTGTGTAGAGAACTATACTGAGTGAAAACAAGCCAGTCCCCAAGGGTTCCATTTCCATGACAGTCACAGAGATAGAAGACAGGTGAGTGGTTGCCAGGGTGAGGGGCTTGAGGGAGGGGCGGGGCGAGGTGGCTATGGTTCTGCAGAGGACAGGGGGTCCCTGTGGTGATGGACGTTCTGTGTTCTGACCGTGCTGCTGGGTACACGGACCGACACACGTGACAGAAGCCATTGATTTAAAGACGTACAGAAACGAGCAGACGTAAAAGGGGAAATATGAACGAGATGGTGGGTTGCCAGTCAGCATGTCAGTCAGTCAATACCCTGCTTGTGATATTATACTATAGTTTTCCAAGGCATCCTCTGGGGGAAGCTGAGGAAGTGGTATCCGGGGTCTCTCTGTGCTGTTTCTTAGAGTTGAACGTGTCTGCAATTATCTCACAAGAAAAAGTTCAATTTAAAACAGGAAAAACAATCTCCTGAGTCCAGCCTTTGGGTACCACATCCGTCGGCCGTCCCAGGTGGGAAGAGAGGCTGAGAGCATGTCCTTCACGTGCCCTTGGTGCCCCCTGGGCTTGGAGCCTGTGCCCAGATTCAGGGTGCTGCTCCCTAGGCCAACGGCAGACCCCAGGAAATGTCTGCCTGTGGCCCAGGCTGCCGTCCCTTCCCGCTCAGGGATTCCGGGGGGACCCTGCCGGCCGGGAGGCACCACCCGGTCAGACCCTGCCCAGCGGGTTCATCTTCTGCCGAGCAAGCGCAGCGTTAGGAACAAGCTTATGCTTCCTGACCGCGTCGTAAGGCTCGTCAGTGTAACAAAAGTTGTACTTTTATATTCTTGCTCAGTGTGGTTTTATGCAGTGAGATTGTGGGGGTTCGTGCAGAGCTTGTCTTTTGCGAGGAGAGGAATGACTTGTGTCTTTAAACGCTATCTGGGTTTTAAGTTATTTCTAATCCTTCTCTTGGACATTGGTCTTAACCGATCGCTCTGCATGTGCCGAGGTTTTCATGGCTCTTAAAGCATCAGGAGAAGCCGTTGGGCCCCTCAGTGGGGTCACAGCGGTCCAGCTCTGACCCCTTCAACCCCAAAGACAAGCACTTGGTGGTTGACTGCGGGAAGTCGGGTAGGTGGGAGGCAGGCTGCTGCCGCCGTCAGGAGGTTCTCGGTGACGTTTCGTGTTTACCTTGTGACTGTGTTACTTTGAATGAAAATGTGGGAAACATGCCTTAAGTTCAGTCTAGGAAGTCGCAGGGATAAGTCTTCTTAATTTACAGAAATGTGGCGAGGCTTGTGTTTCTTTCTCTTCGGGCAAAGAAGTAGGTTAGAGTGTTTGCGGGAGGCAGATGTTTCTGGTCCTGAGGAGGCTGGGCTGACCTTTTGGCTCCACACCAGGCCTTTCCTCCCTGAGCTGCCCACAGAGAGACCCCACTCTGGGACCCAGGTGGAAAGCTGGTGTTTGAGGAACTCAGCCACGTGCTCCTGAGTAAAGCAAGAGAACGAACGGTTCCTGGGAGAACGGAGGTTATGTGAATGGGTAGCGTGCGCTTAATTTGAGGATTCCCCAGTGTTTTCTTAGACCCTGAGGCCTGTGACCACCCCTCACTGCCCATGAGGCGCAGGCACTCAGATGTCACCCTAGCCCGGTCTTTGTCTGTGCCCCACATCACACCTTCCACATGAAATTACTGAATAGGCTTATGAAACATGTGTCTCTGCTTCTTAAAGTATTATATGTTTATGTGCAGAGAACTGTATGTGTATCACAGTACTTTCCTGCCTGTAAATTGTTCCAGGACCTATGACGGAGTAAAATGTACTCGTGGTTCTGAGTGTGAAACAAAGTCACCCCGACTTCCAGTGGCTCCGGTACGTGGTGAGCATGGCACCACTGTCTTCCAGTGAGCGCCCCGTGCGCACCTCCTGCAACTGTCCCGCGAGCGGGCTTTGGAAAGGACTGGTCCTTCCCATAAAAGCCAGACGTGTATTTCAAGGAGGAATCAGCTTTAGTCCCAGGCAACGTGGGGAAGGCTGCCTCCTGTGCCCTCCCCTCCCCTCCCGTGTGGGCGTCCACAGCTCTGAAGACCCAGCTGCGCCCCTGACGTCCAAAGTAGCACTATTGATTTTCCTCCTGAAAGCCTCCCCTTCCCACTCGTGAGTGTC